CTGCATCTATCACAAGGGCAGGCAGGCACGAGGAATCACGCTTCCCGTGTGTACGTGCCTCTGTGTGTGTGTGTGTGTGTGTGTGTGTGTGTGTGTGTGTGTGTGTGTGTGTGTGTGTGTGTGTGTGTGTGTGTGTGTGTGTGTGTGTGCTGCGTGGCTGCTTTATTCGGGTGTGTGGCGCATTTGTCGGTTGGGCAGGAGGCAAGAGGTAAATGCACGATCTGGTTTTATGTGTGTGTGCGTGTGTGTGGTGTTGGCGGGAAAAGCAGGATTAGTGGTGAATGGGTTGGGGCGTGCCACCCGTGCAAAATGGGTGCGTGCACCTCTCATCGTGTGCGAAAGCAAGTGGGCTGCATTCACCTGACGAGCCTGCCTGATCACGAGGAAGACATCAAATGCATTTGCTTCGCATGTCTGCCGTTTTTTTTTTTTTTGTGCTTGTGTGCGTGTATGTGTGTGTGTGTGTGTGTGTGCGTGTGTGAAGTTGAATAACCAGACACTTTGGGCGTGAAGAGTAGTGAATGCATTCAATGAGCCCGTTACGGGATGCGATCATCAAAAGGGCATGGATTGCATTCAAATTGCGTGTTTGTTGCATTATGGCTGCCGTTTTTTTTTTTTTTTGGTGTGAATCCACGTCGTTCCACTTCATTTTTGGCGCGAAAAGTAGTGAGATGCTTAGGCGACTTATGTTTGTTTTCGGTCTTTGGAAAAGTCATGCACTGCTCACCTTTTCTGGTTTTTTTCTATGCCTAGGATGGCGAGCAGTGGCAGTGCAGACGAGCGATCCGGCGCCGCTTCGCGCCCAGCTAGAGCAACGGAAAAACCGAGCAAGGCTGGAGACAAACTGAGCAAGGCTGAAGACAAGCTTAAAAATGCTGAAGCCAGGCTGGACATCGCTGAAGCCAAGCTGGACAGCGCTGAGGAACGTGCCCAGGCGTCCATGGACGAGCAAGCCAATGCCGAAGTGAACGTGGCCAAAGCCGAATTGGGCGTGGCCAAGGCCAAAGTGAAGGTGGCCGAAGCCAAACTGGGCGTGGCTGAAGCTAATGTGGAAGCGGCTACAAATGATGGAGACCGAGCCCGAGCCGAATCAAGTGTGGCCAATGCCAAATTGAAGGTGGCCGAAGCCGAATCAAGTGTGGCCAAAGCCGAAGTGAACGTGGCCAAAGCCGAAGTGAACGTGGCCAAAGCCAATCTGGGCGTGGCTGAAGCCAAAGTGGAAGCGGCTACAAATGACAAAGACCGAGCCCGAGCCGAATCAAGTGTGGCCAAAGCCGAAGTGAGCGTGGCCGATGCCAAAGTGAACGTGGCCAAAGCCGAAGTGAGCGTGGCCGATGCCAAAGTGAACGTGGCCAAATTCGAATTGGGCGTGGCCAAAGCCAAAGTGGAAGCGGCTACAAATGACAAAGACCGAGCCCGAGCCGAATCAAGTGTGGCCAAAGCCGAAGTGAACGTGGCCGATGCCAAAGTGAACGTGGCCGATGCCAAAGTGAACGTGGCCAAAGCCGAAGTGAACTTGGTCATCTCGCGTCCACATTCCGCAGAGCTGAGCCATGTCTTTGAATCGTACTTGCAGACCTTGAAAGACGAAGTAGTCCGTGCTTCCCAGGCGCGGAATAACGCTGCGAACCCACCCATGGCGGCTGCAGTGAGCCCTCACCCCAGCAATCCTCTGGCGTGTTGGTGGCGCCAGCAAGTGCGGTCGTGTCCGGGGCTTCAGGGGACGGGTATCTAGACTATTACAATCAAGTGACCCGGAAGGGTCGATACAAAACAGCCGACGAGTCAGAGGTGGCCCCGTTCCGTTCGGAGCTCACGTCGGAGCAGGAAACCATGGCCGACAGCATTCCAAAGGGCCAGCGCACTTCGGAAGCAGATCTCCAAAACGCCTGGGATGACTTTCTCCAGAAGCAGACAAAGAATATCCCATGTCGCGTTTGTAGCTCTCCCAATGCTGCAACTCTGGACCAGTTCAAGCCCGACATTGTGTTGGGGGCAAGATACCCTTACAGGGATGGCAACATTGCCTGCATTTTGGAGCTCAAGCGCAGCACGAACAAGTTTACAGCTTCGGCTCTTGGCCAACTCTTTTCTTATTTAGATACATTGTTGGAGCTGTCTCCAGATCGACACTTCTGCTTTGGCGCGTTGGTGAACTGTTTCAACTTCCACATCATCCGGGCATATCGATGCCGCGGAACCGGCTTCATTCACTTCGAGACCATAATACAGGGCCATTTGGGGTCGGGCGCGCCCCTTGTCCGACTGCTGACCATGGAACCTAGTGAGCTTGGTTTCGTGGACTTGCGCGTGAACATTCCTGACAACGATGGGCAGCCATTGTATTACCATCCACACTGCTTTATCGGCAAAGGCAGGCATTGCGAGGCGTACAAAGGCATGTTTCAAGGCGAGACGGTCGTCTTCAAGATTTTCAAGAACGAAGCCGCCATGAAGCAGGAGCGTGACATGCTTAACAAGCTGGGTTTGGCTAAGGTTGAAAATGTGCCTGTCCTCAAGGGTTACTCGAAAGGGCACCCCTACTGCTGCGTCGTGACCCCTGTAGGCGAGGAATTTGCCACGCCTCCCACAAGACACGAGCTATCAATGCTTTTGGACGTGCTCAAGGCCGCGCACAAGGCCGGGCTTGTTCATCGTGACCCGCTTCCCCGCAACTATTTTCGAGTGGGTTCAAAAATCCTGTTCAACGACTGGGGGTCGGCTGAAGAGATTCGCACAGGCCAGCCAGTTGTACCCACTGGCTGGCCTTGTGAGCAAGCAGATGACATGATTGGCGAGGTTCGTACCGCTTGCTGCAGTGAATGTGGGAAGAATTGCAGTGTGCAAGCCCCCTCATGTTCGACTGGTTGTGGTTTGCAGAGTGAGGTGGTGCCCCAGTTCCGACATGACCTGGAAATGTTTGCAAAGGGCATCTTCTTGCGAATGGTGCGAAAGGGCGACTGGCCAAATGACCTGCGTAGCACTGATTTTTGGGATGAGGGTTACTTGGGATCTACCTGGCGACCTGTCTTGAACGCTGCTCGCTCGCTACCCGATTTCCTTACCGGCTCACCCGAAGATTTTGTGAAAAACCACGATGGGACATACGAGGGCTTCAGAAACATACTTTTGAAGTCCTATAGTCGCCTGCTCGCTCATGGGCCCACTTTGTTTTGAGCTGCTGCTTCAACTTTTGATGTTTTTTTTCTCTCCTGTCCAGCTCAAATCGAGAGAACATCGCTACAACGCTTTTTGGCGCTACAAATGACTGCCACAGGGTCTTAACATCTGTACATTGAGAGTGTCTGGGTAAACAAGTCATCAAAAGCTGGCACGCTTGCTGGTAGTGTCGAATTGGAGAGCCGACGAGCAAAGAGAAGCCAAAGTGTAAAAAAAAACGCGATGACAAATGGCAGCCGGGTCCTCAATCTGAGATTTCATGGCACGTCAATGTCAAGTAAACCTGGCCTCATTGACACCCTTGCCGTGTTGGTCATAAAGCCACCTGAGACGCCCTGTGACACACAAGCCAGCGATTAGTACACAAAACTGGAAAAAAGCGCCCTTGGCCCCTTTGCCAACACCACATGGCAGCCGGGTCCACCATCTCAAATTCCGTTGCACGTCGGAGCAAATCATACATAATCTCCGTCAAGTGCTTGTGGCGCTCGCCACGGAGTCGAAACTCACCTGGGACCACCTTGTAATACACAAGCCCTGACAGTAGTATCCCTCTCGAATGGCCTAAACTAACGTGTAAAAACAAACACTCCCATTGACACATGGCAGCCAGGCCTCTGATCTCAGTTTTCGTCTCACGTCAAAGCAAAGCACGCCCCACCTTTGCCATGTTCTTGGAGTGCTCACTGTCTAGTCCTCTCTTACCAGGGACCATCCTGCCACACGCCAGCCCTGGCATGAGTGCACCCCTCAAAACGGCCCATGCTTGAAAATAAAGCGCACCTTGACTTCTGCACCAACACCGACTGGCAGCCGGGCCTCTGTTCTCAACTATCGTCGCACGACAAAACAACAAAGCACGCCTCATTCATCTGGAACCATCCTGTGTGCCACAGCACTACCGTCAGAATCGTCCGGGGTGTCGCGCGCCAAAACTCGCAAAACGCATCCTTGCCCTCCGCTCTGGCAGCCGGCATCATGGATGGCATTTTCAACAACGGGCCGCAGATAGGTTCCTCACCTCCCTCCGAGCAGCTGTGTTTTGTGCCAATTATGAACAGGCTCCGGGCTCCTGGGCCTCGCTAGCGCGTCCATTGCGCACCAGTGGCCACGGCACCTCATGGTCAGATCGAGGAATTGTCTTGACAACAAATGGCAGCCCAACACGAGATCAGCAAGATGGTCGATCCAACACGGTTGCACGGCAATGTCGTTTAACTACCCGTTCATTCCTGTCGCAGCTTGCACCTCAACCACAACGACGACAACGCCCCACCAGGAGCACGCGCGCCGCTCATGGCCCCGTTTCATCGAAAAACCTTGTGTCCCAAGTCAATTGGTGCAACGGTCGCTGGGTTACAGTGGTCTCGAATAGGCTTGATCTAGGCGGGGTCGTGCCATGACTGAGAAACTCCGTGAAAAGCTCTTCTGACCATAGCAGTGTTGTGACGCTAGCTCGGCCCGCGGGGCAGCACCGCGTCTCAGAAGCAGCAGCCGAAAGTTCTTCTGCGTTGAATGTCAGAATTTTGTGCAAATCCGGCGCCACCGTGGTGTCAATGACCTCGGATGTGGTTTCGGGGGGGCTTTTGCCAACAGCATTGGGAGCGGCTCTTCGCGTAGCAGCGTGTTTTCTCGACCAAAGGCACACTGAAGCACGTCACCCGGTGCCTTGCACAGCGGGCCGGATGGCACAAGCTTTGAGCCGTTGTTCGCAAAACTCGAGCACGATTCTCGGCCCACCAGCAGCTAAGGCTGTCGCTGCACTAGTTGTGACTGCAGCTGCCTGATTCGATGGCAACCCTTCTTCTTTCGCCGAGGCCGGCTCCGGGCGACTCTGCTCTCGTCTTTGAAAGCAAAAATGAATTTGAGCTTGTGGCTCGCTTGACAGTTGTTGCGGGTCTTTTAGACATTGTTGAAGATATAATAATGTTCTCAATGTTTATTTACGCTGCATTTGAACCAGTTTGTGTAGTCTGACATTACTACTCTGCTTTTTAGCGTCGATGCACAAAAAAAAAAAAAAAAAAAAACTACAGACAGTGATTGGCGGACTCCCCTTTTAATTTTCTCAACCTCCTCCCCAGCTTGGCCAGAGGAGAATTGACGCAAGCTACTCTTCTACGTGCATCTTTCCACCGGATCGACAGCTGTCCCATTGTGCTGGCAGACTACACACCCTGCTTGTCCTGGGTTTGAAGTCCTGATCACCACAACGCCGAGGGATTCCATCTGAAAGTATACAAGCAGACGAATCGGCTGCGAGAGGCGCTTCGGCGGTTTGCGAGCAATGTGCATCTAGCAGTCATGGACCCCACCAATGCCGTCCTCGAGCTGTCACAGGATCAAGACCTGGAAGTTTCATTACTGGACAAGGATGACTCAAGCCAATCCGACCCTGATGCGTCTGCACCCGACTGTGAAACAGCATCGCTTTTTTCCAAGATTGATGCGCGGAATCCGCTACTTCTGATAGCTCTGATCGCCTTTTGCATCAATTGCCAGCCTTCCGAGCCCTATTTGGCTGCCTACCTCGATGATGTCAAGAATCTGACCGAGCAGCTTACGTCTGGCCCGCTGATACGTATGCCACGTTTGCGCTCTTCTTACCCTTGGGGCTGTTGACTGAGTTTGCGGGCTACTACAATGCCCTGGGCCTGGGCTTGCTCTGCCGACAAGGTACCCGTATGCTGCTCCTCTTTGGCCACGGCCTTTTGCCCGTCGTGCTCAGTCAGATCACATATGCTGCCTCCTCCGTCCTCAACACCGCGCTCTTTACCATCCTCTATACGGTCCTACCCACGGAGCACTTTGCTCGTGCCACGGGCTGGACGCGGGGTTGTTACCATTGCGGCAATGTGGTGGGTGCTCTCGTGGCTCAGGCACTTGTTTCATACGCTCATTGGCACGGGCGACGCATGGACCTACTCTTTGTCTTCTCCTGCATCATGACCACACTGGGCTGCAGCGTTTATTTGTATGGACGCTGGCGGTGCCCCGCCCTTGGGCAACGTCCCGACAAGGTCGTAGCCAGCGCTGCATTCCCAATTGTAAGATCACACCGTAGCTCTGGTTTTGGTGTGCTGGTACGGCGCCTCTGGCGAGACTATCAGGACCCCCACATGGCTTTCTGGAGCGTCATTTTCACGTTTGGCTATGCTGCCACCTTTGTCTTTGGCAACTACTACCAAACCTTGCTGACATACCACTACACTCATGTGCCTTATGGGCTGATTGAAGCAGTGCTGGAGCTAGGATCCGTGGCTGGTACCACGTTGGCAGCGACCAGCCGTGGTACTTGGGCTGTCCATGCACGACCACAAGCCATGGCCTGGCTCGCCACCTTGGTAGCAGCGGGTGCAACTTTTGCGGCCGCCTTCTGGCACGCGAAGCAGGGTGTTTTCATTGCTCTTATTGTGGCACAGTCTTTGGCGGCCCGGTTTTTGTTGGCGGCTGCCGCAACGCAAAGTGCGGCCCATCAGCGCTCTGAGCAATTTGCAGCCGCCACCACCGTCAATTCTTTCATTGGGCTGGCCTTGACCAGTGTGGTCATTGCGTGCATCTCAACTCGTCCAAATGCACCCACAAGTAATTACCTGGCGGCCGCTGCTACTCTTACCGTTGCTGGAACAGCACTGGCCTCGTTCGTTTACCGAGTTGTGCAGTGGCAGCGACAACGTGCGGCGCAGCGTGCTTCGATAATCAATGAAGGAACGTCGGCACAGAGTTGTAGCCTTGCGTTTGACCCTAGTCATTGTCGTTCCGCAGCCTGACCTGTGGTAGTCCGGTACCATGATACTCACTTGTAAAGTAATTGATGGCTGACGATGTTTGTGACAGAGCAAGTACATCAAACACACTTCGGTGACTGTGGTTTTTCATGACAGTAGTAGTTGCTCGCGAGGGCTACAGGGATGTTGACGCGGTCGACAACACCCAGCGGGTGATTGACGATTAGCTTGAGCGCCAGGAAGCCAACCTCGAGCAGCGGTGTCGACAGACCTGCGTGCCGGCCGTCTTTGGGCACATGCTGCGAGCGGAAGACAGGCATCATTTTTAGGCCCGGACATGCCAGTTTTGCCCATGATGTTCCATTCATGCTCTTGGATCTGACCTTTGATCTGATCATGCATGCGGATGTTGAAAGCAAGCGACTTGTTTAGGTTTGACTGGATGAGATGGCGAGGTTCCAGAGTCACAGCGCGGCTCAACAAGTACAGAGCTACATGGTGGTGGCATCTTCAAGAAGTGATCGCAATTGCCTTCTGGGGAAGACTTTTTGTGTCTGAAAGATCGCCTTTGAGCAGGAATGAAGCAGATTCTCTAGCTTATAGTTGAAAATCGTCTGGAGGAAAGAACTAGATGTGGCATTGAAGGTGATCAATTTTTACCCGTGGTCAACACTTAATGACCAAGCTGATCGTGACGTTCAGGCCGGTGGGTCAGGTTGATAATGATCTCTGCACAGTTCTGGAAAAGGAAAGCAAAGCGGTTGATGTTACCCAGATGTTTGTTGACTTTTTGAAGCGGTGTCAAAGTTAGAACACCGTTGTTAGCTTCATGTGATTTCAGGTGTTCTTTCTGCAAAAGGTGGACAGGGCAGCTTTCACGCTGGCTGATGGCAGCCAGCTGGTAGAACTCATCGATCTGCTCCAGGACGGGAAAGTCGCGAGCCGTGGCGTCGGGATGAAGTGCATTGACGTGTTCACGTCGCAGCACAAAGCATGGGTCGACAACTCGTTCTTCGATTGTTTGAGAGCCAATAGATTCCAAGGCGGTTTTCGCCTTGCCATACCAATCTTGGTCGTTCCTCACCATCTCTCTCATCCCCGCAACTTCTTGAGGCTTCACGAGCGATTGTTTGGCAACCACGCCCTCTCCTTTCAGCGTCTGGTAAACAGGTGCAAACTTTGTGAGAATGCCTCCAAGAAATTTGGGGCCTGGTGAATCAAAATCTTGCCCATGTTGCTTCAAAGGGAAAGGTCGCTTTGCCAAAGCACACGGTGACAGTGCCTCCTCAAGTACAAAGCCATCAGAATCAAACCGAACGCCTGTCTGACGGAGCTCCCTCTCAAGGCTTTTTGCCCAGGAACCTTGAGCCCCTGAATGATCCGGGAAAAAATATGGGGTGTCCACTGTTGAGAATTTCCACTGGCTTCGATCGTAACCAAGCACCATTTGCAGCCAGTTGGCCCAGTTGGATTGAGGCTCTGCCAAACCTTGCGCTTGAGCTGGTTGAAGCACGCCCGCAAGGTTTCTCACAGCCTCACGAGAAAAAAAATCGGGAAAAAAAGGTATCACAAAGTAGTGCGAAGAAAGCAGCGAGATCTTCGTGACGCCCCCAAGGGCTGGTGGAAGATCGAGCAGAATGGTGTGAATGTTGTAAGCTGCAGCTGTCATCCAGAGCAAGTGATACAGGACACCCAACTGGCGAACAAATCGATGGTCAGTGCTTGCCACTTCGAGCTGTGTGGATGCCAGGGCCATCTTCATGTGGCCAGGCAGAAGGTAAAGCCGTGGCGTCTGCTCCTCGCTTTTTTCTTCGTCGACGCGCTTGGACTTTTTTCGCGATGGCTCCCCACTGGCTCCGTCCCGGCTGCCAACAACACCGTCTTTGCAAAGCTTCAAGCGCGTGAGCGTGGCTGGCTCAAGAGCTGCTCGCTTTTTGTCGTCCAAGACGTTTTTGATGGCATCGTACACGTTCCAGTTGCTGACGCGATCGTAGTGGACATCATAAAATTTCTCGTAGTCCTCGGTCCCAAACTCCTTCAAAACGGTGCGACGCAATGCAAGTGCCGTCAGAGAGCACTGGGGATCCAAGTCGACGATGAGCACGCCAGGCACGTCCTCTGGCTTCCACAATGGCGCGTAAGGCTTGTGGCCAAGTGCGTCTGCGCCATGTTGAGCGTGGTGTTTCGCAAGCTCACAGCCAAGCGCAAATGTCGTGGTCGTCTTGCCCACACCGCCCTTAAAGTTGTACATGGAGATCATGTTGAAGGTGTTGAAATTCTGATAAAATCGCTTGCTCGATGTCTCAGAACTTGTGTCCAGCTCAATGAACTGAGGTTTGCCTGTTTTTTCTTCGACGCCAAGCTTCTTCCACTTGACTTTTTCATAAGTGGCAGCCTCTGTCGTGTTGTCCGCCACGGCTCCCTGGGCAGACGCTGACGCCATCTCGACAGTTCTCAGTCAACACCACGCCCTCCAAGTCAAGCTCGAACCGGCCAGGAAAAAAAATGCCAGTGAAACGTTTGAACACGTGTAAATGGTTCACCTGACCGATCGATCTCGAACCAAACATCGAGTCCGAATCACTCACTGATCGAACGAATCAATAACGTACACATGAGTCCCAGTTGATGAAGAATTCGGACTCGCAGTCACATGGCAGAAACCACCAACCACCACTGGTTCACATCATTGGTTTGGTTTGGTTTTGAATGATTGTCAGCATTTTGCTGCTGGTGGAGATGCGAGATGCTTTTGACAGCTGACTCTTGGATGAATTGAGCCTCTGCCACTTCTTCCTTCAAAGCAAGCAAGTTGACGAGCCTGCTCCTGATGGATGAGGAAAGGGGGGGACAAGACTTCTTCCTTCCCTTCACGCCCCACGCCTCCCCCCCCCCCAGCCGGCTAATCACACACAGGAAGAACAATCCGAGGTAACAAAGGCTTGGCAAGAATTGGATGGATCACCAAGGGCTCCAAACCGAATTTGAGTGGCATTGATGTCCTCAATCGGGTTGTTGCAAAAGTTGACATAAGTGCCAACGGATGTGAGTTGCGTAAAGCCGTGCACGCTCTGCAACGCGTTGTTGTCCTATTGCAGACACAAACGAACCAAAAATGGTGAGGCTAGGCACAGAGCTTCACATGGACGTGCGCCCACAATCTCACTCTGATGGAGAGAAAGCTGCCGATTGATGTGAGGTTGGCAAATCCATCGATGGTCACCAGTGCAATATTGGCCTAGTGCCCAGCACATCACTTGTAGAATGAGATCAAAAGCAGAACGCTCACGGGGAGTAGGAACCAAGCACCAACAAACCCGCATGGTAATTGACCCGCCCACGCTTTGCAAAGCGCCAAAGCCATCAAAGTCCGTGAGATTGATGTTTCTCTATTGCATAAAATTGATAAAGAATGAGTGGCACGCCCATGGAACTTGACACGCAAGATCGAATCGTTGGTGCGCACCATCATTGTCAGATCCCTGCCCACAATCGTAAGCGCATCCAGTCCGTCAAGGCTTGTCAATGCAAAATTAGTCTGTTCCAGCGACAATATACTCAAGCATGAGCAAACGGATGTTATATGTGGCCCTGACGAGCAATTGACGAACGTTGATGCTAAGGTCGAACGTCACGGCTTCCAGACGTCGCAACCCCCGCACTTGTTGCAGAGCACGGTTATTCTGTTTTTGTTTGTTGAAAAAGACAAGACCACAAAATTCAGGTGAGAACATGCCAAGCTTGATGGCTCAAGTGCGCGTGTCAAAGAGTCAAGACTGACCAGAATCAAGCCTGGCATGCTCTCACCTGAATCCTGAGATGCTGGTGGACGGAGCGCAGGGCAGCTAGGCCATCCAGATTGGTGAGGGCATGATTTGCCTGTACACAGTGTTGGCACTGTGAGAATGCGGGCGCAGGGTGTTGTAAGCAGCACTGGATTTGACAAAAAATATGCGGGGGCACTTGCAGAGATAAACGCAAAGCCCACGGTGGTGAGACGGTTGAGGCCGTCGACAGAAGAAAGATTTTGATTGTTCTAAGCATGCAACAGGCAGTCGTAATGAATGAAGATGCAAAGTGATATCAGGGCTGAATTGCGGCTCAACTTGCAATGTGTACCTGAATGTATAAGGCATTGCCAACGGCAGAAAGCGCCCCGAGGCCAGCAAGACTTGTGAGCATCGGGAGCCCCTGGTAGCGGTTGGAAATGAGACGAGCACCGTGCCTCGATGCAGGGAGATGATCAACGCGTCATGGAGAGCGGAGGTCGCACCTGAATGGTGACGGAGTTGACGACCAGGGTTAGGCCATGCAACCCATCAATGTGGGAGAGAGCAGCATTGTTCTGTTTTCGCAACCAAGCGGGGTGTGAGATAACGCAGTCATAAGAGGAGGCGAGGCGTGTTTGACATGGGCAGGGTACGGACACGAATGTAGAGCGATTGGAGTGAATCCGATGTCAGATTCCTCAAACCATCCAAATTGGCCAGGACGGGATTCGACTAACATGTAAAGACCACACGGGGTGAAGGGGTGAATGACTTTGCCATGAGGAGAAGAAAGGGGGTTTCGCCTCTTCAAGAGCCCCAGGGGTGGAAAGAAGTCGGTCAAGTGACCAACCTCGATGCTCATAGCTTGACCCAGCACGTTGAGGCGGCTTAGACCTTCAAGATTGGTCAAGGCGGCGTTATCCTAACAGAGGGCCCGATCATGCACCACGATCAGAAGAGACGCAGGCCCTGATGGAAAAAGTGAAAAATAAATAATCGGCGCACCTCTAATTTGAGGCTGCCACCGATGGATTGAAGACCACCGAGGCCATCAATGTTGGCGAGCAGCGGGTTGGACTGGTGTGGCGACAAGGACTGTGAATGCTAACCATGCCCGGCGGGTGCGGGCTTTTATTCAAGCTGAGACACTCACGACAATATGGACGTTTCCAGCAATGGTAGTCAGAGCTCGCAAGCCATCAAGATTGGCCAGGGCAGGATTAGCCTGTACGGGACCACAGCAAATACCAGAAGCAATGGGGTGAATCACACCGCGACGCTGACAAAAGTCTCAAGGTGCGCAGGGCCCGGAGGTTTCGGGACCTGGATGGTGAGATCCCCATTGAGGGTGACAAGGCGACCCAGGAATTGGTAGAGGCGGGGAGCGGTCAGTTCGGGACAACTTGTCAGGTTGACATGGCCATTCAGGTGCTGGGTACCATGGGGGAGGACAAAGCTGCAGGAGACGTTGCCGCTAAAGTCGACGACGAGCTGATCTTGTAACGTGTTGAGGCGCTGCTGGAGCGAGGCCAGAGCTTGGCGCTGACTGCGGAGCGTTGATACGATTGGAAGGTCGTTGATAAAAACGGCAGATCCTTCCGAGCTGTTTAAATGCAGATTGCCATGAACATCTGTAGCAATGCCACCGCTGCCAGCCGGCTCGCACCCGGTCAATGAGATCAAGCTCTGCAGCGACAAACAGAGGCAGAGCCAAGAGCCAAGCGCCCATTGGCCACTTTTCCGCTCGAATACCGTCAGCATACGTGCCATGGTCGCCCAGGTTGTGTTGTTATTGTTTTTTTTTTTTGGTCGAATGACACGGTCATTCGCTTCTGTTCACGGCCGCTGATGCCTGCTACGACCTGGCCCGTCGCCGCCGTCACCGCCGCCGCCGTCGTCGTCGTCGTCGGCGCCTTTTTTTGCTCAAATACGACAACAGTTGTTCTCAACGATAAATAAGAACAGGCTGTCTGTGTCATCAGTCTCCTGTTACATGTGTGCATTTTCCCAGAGTCACTTGCTCTTGCGCCCTCTTTGCCTCGCAAGCAAGCAACATTATCGTCACACTTCTCTCATTTTGCCTTGGGTTTTACCTTACCCAACGTTCAGCCTTGCATGCGTACCTCTGCGCGCCTCTTTTTCTCACATTTTTCTCTTCTCTGCACACACACACACACACACACACTCTCTCTCTCTCTCTCTCTCACACACACACACACACACGACGCGATGAGCTCGACAGCGCCGCCGCCGGCGTACGGCAGTGATGTTCCTGGTTACCAGAGCGGTGATCCGCCCCTTGAGGATATTATTGGCCCCGGCGAGGTTGGTGATTCTCGCTTCTCTTGAGGCGGGTGGACTCTTTTGCTTGGCTTGGCCGTTTTGAAATGCACGCTCACGTCCTGCTTCTCTCTTTCTCTCTCTCTTCCGCCCTCCCGCCCTCTCTCACTACGACATTCTGGTCGATGGATCGGATGCGTGGGATGCATGAAACACCTCGGACATGGGGCCGGATAGATTCCTTTGATGGTGACGCGGCCTTCGGATCCCCAGGCTGTGGGCAAATTTACTTGGTGGCGCTTCATGGGTCCCATGGTGGCCATTCCCTGCTTCTGGATTCATGCCCGTACGCACGCTTGTCATTGGCTTCCGCATCACTCGACTCGACCTGTTGAATGCAAGGCCTCACAATGGTGTGCGCGCCACCCGGCCCTTTTTTCCACTGATAGTCATCATGTGCCCCTGTGCTTTGAACGTACGCTGGGCTGCCGTTCGTAAGTGCGCGGCTGGCCCTAAAAACAGCACATGTGGACGAACCCTACCTGACAACGCCCCTTTTGTCGTTTGCTTCCTGATGCGCAGGCTCGGCTGAAAAGTCCATTCTTGTCCTGACCGATCGGGCCGTCTGTACGTTACACCCGCGATGCTTAAAGACGCGTCACATCGCGGCGCGTCGTCACGAGTGTTGTGCTGCCGACCCGCATCTGATGTCAGCCACTCGTAACATGGTGTACCTTGGCAGATGGCTGGAGCGGCGATACCCAGACATGCTGCTGCTGTCCCGGTGCCTGCACCACCGGCGCCCGCGTAAGAGCGGCCTAAATGCCGGACCCCTTATTTGTCCTCTTTTTCCTCCAATCCATGACCATTTTGGTCTTGGTCTGCCGTCTTGTCGCGCCTGCCTCACGATGTCTCACAATGACGATGGCGGACATAGACGACTTCGGTGCCTCTGGAGCGCATCACCAACGTCAACCTGCGCCGCCCTGGTCAAGGCTGTGTCAACTCGTGCATCTCCGACATCGGTACGCAGATCCGTGCCCCACTCACGTACCTTGGCTTTGTCTGGAAACCAACACGCGCCTTCTTGTTTTTTGATGTTTGGCTGCCGGTGGCTTTAGAATGCCTGGAGATTGAGACGGCTGGTGCAGCTGGACCACGTGCTGAGTTGATGCTCGTCGGCGCAACCGACTCGGAAGAGTTTAAGCGCCGCGTGCTCGAGGCCCGCCAATCTGACCGTGTCGCTCCTGGTGGCAGCGCCTCGGCCGTGACAACGGTTCAGCCCATGGCCACGAGCGCCAGCCCTCAAATGCGCCTCAAGGTCCGCCTCAACAGCAACCCCAGCAAGGTCAAAATTGTCCTGGTTCATGGTCAGTCCCGGTTTTCCTCTTTTTTTTTTTTTTTTCTTTGCTTGCTTCCCCCTCCCCCCGCTTTTTTTTTTCCCATATTCACGTCCTTAGCTTCCCTTGAGTATTTCCCCGGAGCTTTGAGATGTCAAGTGTGTCGACTGGCCCGCCCAGACTCACCCAATCACCACGTCAACTTCCATCACAGGCTCAACAGAGGGCATGCACAAGGCCATTGCCGACAAGTTTGATCTCCCTGCCGAGACAAAGATGCGCATTTTCCTCACCGAGGACGGTATCGAGGTTTGTAACCCGCCAAGCTCTGCGCCTTTCGTTTTGGACCGTCCCCGTGGAGTGACCTCAACACCAACTTGTCTGCGTAGGTGGATGGCATCGACGAGCTGTCCGCCGACGACAACATCACCGTCTGCCTCGGCGCTGAGCAATTTACCCAGCAGTAAAAAATGAGCCTCCACTGTTGACTGCCCCTTGTCTTGCATTCTTTCTTCCTTGGCTCCTCTTTGGTTTCTTCTTTCTTCTTTTCGTTTGCTCCTTTTATCCCCGAGAGTCTGCGCATGCGTTCCACGCATACAAATTAAGATTGAGCGCCTCACACCCTGTTCAAACGCAGCCCAATGCTCCCACCATCCCGACCTTGACCTCCCCTCCTCTTGCCATGTTTGCTTTGTTGATGTTTTCCTTTCAACTCTCTCTCAAAACTCTCTCTCGCAAAACTCTCTCTCTCAAACTCTCTCTCAAACTCACTCTGTCTCTCTCTGTCTCTCTCTCTCTCTCTCTCTCTCTCTCTCTCTCTCTGTCTCTCTCTGCCTCTCTCTGTCTCTCTCTGTCTCTCTCTGTCTCTCTCTGTCTCTCTCTGCCTCTCTCGTCTCTCTCTGTCTCTCTCTGTCTCTCTCTCTCTCTCTCTCTCAAACTCTCTCTCTCAAACTCTCAAACTCTCTCTCTCAAACTCTCTCTCTCTCTCTCTCAAACTCTCTCTCTCTCTCTCTCAAACTCTCTCTCTCTCTCTCTGTCGTCTTCCCAGTGATTTGCGCGTGGCAGCCCCCTACGCGGTGCTTTGCGGTGTGAGCGACAGGGGCGGATCGTTGGGCGTGATTGCATTTGTATTTGGCAGGTCAAGATGCTCCGCAGCATGCTGGCTGCTTGCCTGGTCTTGAGCCTGGCGTGCGCCAGTGCTCTGGTACGTGGGGGATGGCACCGCGTTTCGCCCCTCGCTCTTTGGGCTGATTGCACCTTGGCGGGTTGCTGTCCGTAGGCCGATCCGATGCAGCTCTTTATCGATCCTGCCAAGGGCAGCGACAGCAATGATGGATCGGCTGGTGCACCCTTTGCCACGCCGTATCGTGCGCAGGCAGCGATCCGGGCAGCACTTCCAAACCTCCCTGACGGTAGGCATCGTGTACACTGACTGGCTTGCTGGGCCCGATCGTGCAGCCCACGCCGCCTTCTGATGCATCCCGCTTCCACGTGGAGTAGGTGGTGTGGTTGTGACCTGTGCCGATGGCGTTTACGATCTCAGCGCCGCCCCCCTCTCGTTCAACGCCTCGGATCTGACGACCAGTGACAAACCGATTATTTTTCAGGCCGCACCCGGGGCGCAGCCCATCTTCAGGTACGCCCCGTCTCTGGCACAAGTCCCCGCGTGTCCCGGGCTTCGTTCGCTGCTGGCTCTCTGCACTCAATCTAGAAATCATCGCACTGCCCTTGAATCTTTCCAGCGCTGGGAAACAGCTGAACCCAGCCGCCGCCAAGACCGGCGACAGCGGCGTGGTCATGTTTGACCTGGCCGCACAAAACATCTCCGATTATGGCACCATCCCGTGCGGCTCCTCCCTCGGCTCGTGCCCAACCGCCAGCGTCGGCGGCTCTGGTGCGTTATAAATGCGCGCATGTCGGTCGGCTACCCGTCTTGACCGCCTCATAAATTGACACGCTGGGGACCTGTCGATCCGTGCTTCCGTGCAGGGCGAATCGGCTTGACGGTGGGAGACTCTAGTCTGCATCTTGCCCGCTACCCCAACATCAATGCCTCCACCGGCTACTGGCAGTTTGAACAAATCACTCAGGTGACGCTGCATCGGCTTGGCCGTTTATTCACTCGACTGTTTGGGCCAACCGGAGCGCCGCGCTTCACTACCAGTCACTCAGTCTCCACCGCTGCCCACTTTAGGTCAACGATCCCCTCAGCATCACCGTCAACACGGATCGCATTCACCAGTGGGCCAGCGAAGTGGACCATCTCTTTCTTCATGGCTACTGGAAATTTGATTGGGCAGACAACGTTGTCAAAGTGGAGAGCCTGAGCGCACCGGGCACCAACACCATGAACATCAGCTCCAATACCCCACCCGTGTACAACTTTGAGCCCAAGGCCCGTTGGTTTGCGTTTAATCTCTTGGCTGAACTCGATGCGCCCGGTGAATTCTGGGTCAACCACACGTCAGGCCTCCTCTACTTTATCCCCATCACGCCGTGGACCGGCCAAGAACGCGTCCTTGTTGCTGTTGGCAGCAACGTCCTCTTGGTTGGTATCCGCGCTTCTTCTCTTCTCTTTTCTTCTTCGGCTGCTTTGAGGCATTTTGCAACAGCTTGTCTTGCAGCTCGGGCTTGTAAATGGGCCCTTTTTGAGGTTTGGCTGCTCAGCATGTGCCCTACCTCCTGTGCCGCAGATCTCCGACACTGCCAACATTCATTTTGCCGGCATCAACTTTCAAGCTTCGCGGCAAAACGCAGTCGACGTGCGCAACAGCGCCAACGTTACCATTGCACACGGCACCGTCCGCAACGCTGGCGGCAACGGCATTGCCCTTTCCGAGGTGGTATCTTCCAGTGCGCTCAACATGACCGTCACTCACGCTGGTTGCAAGGGCATCACCATCTCAAGTGGCAATACAGCGCAATTGATATCGGGAGGTCAGTTTGATGGGTATGGCTCGAGGCTCATTTGGGCTGAAGCGTCTGGCTTTTCTCACGCACATCCTGCTCGTCAGACTCGAGCATCGTCAACAACACCATCACGCTCACGTCGCAGTACACTCGCACGTACAACCCGGGGATCGGCTTTAGCGGCGTTGGCAACTATATTGCTTACAACAACATTACCGACCTGCCGCATGCCGCCATCCTGGGCAGTTGCAATGACTGTCTATTTGAGCACAACTACATTGCGCGCGCGGGCTTTGAGGTGGACGATTCAGGTTGGCAGCGCTATACCATGCTCCCGCGTTGAGTTTGTGCTGCATGTGACTCAGCATGCATCGTTCTTGTCTGTTGCTGCAATGCGTCATAGGGGCCTTTTACACGGGCCGACAGTGGACCGCGCGAGGCAACACGGTCCGCTTCAATCGCTTCGAAAGCATTCGCACGCGCGTGCCCGTCTACTTGGGCTCGCCTTCAGTCCAAGGCGTTTACCTGGATGACCAGGTACGACACCCCTGCTACCCCAACACTCGTAGACCAAACAGTCTTACGCGCCGATGAATCTGGTTCTGTAGATGAGCGGCTATGAGGTGTACAACAACTCGTTTTATGACTGCCAGGTCAGTTACGCACTGAAAGCCCCATGCCCAGTGCCTATATCCCCAAGACCCCATTTGGACAATTTTCTCACCTCTGGCTGGCTATTTCCTGTGGTCGGGCCCGTTCTCAGCTGGGCGTGCTGGTTGGCGGAGGTCGACGTAATCACGTGTACATGAACACGTTTGAAAAATGTGACACGGCCATCCACCTCGATGACCGCGGTCTGACCTGGCAGCCAGAAATGTGCGTGCCCAATGGCACGCTGTACGAAGGGCTGATGGCCGTCCACTACCGCGAGCCCCCCTACGTTCAAGCCTACCCGGAGATTGCCAGCATTCTTGATCTGGTCCGTTCTCGGTCTCTAACTGTTTCTGATGAGCTTGGTTCATGTGATTGGCTGGCTCACGACAGGGACCCTCATGGTTTTTGATGACTGAATGGTGCCCGCCTATTTTTGCAGCTTCCCTGTCATCCCACTCTGAATGAGATGTGGGGCAACACCGCCTGCTCGTGTGGTCAGCTGTATGACTTTGACCCCACACAATACAGCCAATGGATGAACCTGATCCTCAACAACACCAACACCAGCGACACAGGTTGCGTCGCACCCCTCGCCTAACCCCGGTCTTTTGATTGGTCAAGGTGTCCCCAATGCACTCTCTTGAGCCCCTCTCTGTTTTGCTCGACCCCTCTCCTTCAATCGATCTCACAGTTTTTTCCCGTGCAACACCCACGAGATCCCACTCCCAATCGCGTACAACTCTGAAAGCGCCTCACGCTCCCAGGCTTCCTACAGACACACACTCACTCGCACACCACACTCACTCGCGCGCGCACACACACACACAGACAGGGACCTTTCTCTCAGACTCATATGAAAAGTCGCATAAAACCTCTCTCTCTCATTTCAAAAATTTCTGTTTTTTTTTTTTTTTTCTTTTTTTTTTTTTATGGAGGCGGTACCATCGACGATGGAGCTGCCGGCGGCGGCGGCGGCGGCCATGGCAGTTGAGGACTGGGGATCCGCTGCAGACGTGTTTCTTCAAGCGGCACGGGCGCCAGCGGGGCAGGCATCGACCCAGACACAGGCCCGTCTTTTTGAAATGGCGGCCCAGTGCGGCCTGCAACAGGTGAAAAGCCCCCCTTTCCCTCTTTCCCTGGAGCAGGTCCGCTGCCAGCTTCTCACATAACCCATGCCTGTTCGCCGCGCTCATCATGCCTTAGGATCACGAATCGGGCTTGACCATGGCAGTCAAGGCGGCAGAGCAGGCCGTTGCCCTTTGTCCCTCATGGCCCACCGCACACCTCACTCTTGCTCGATCGCTTCGTGAGGTCTGCAGCCGCATTGGTCGCGCCCTCACCTCTATCGCACTCAGTCTCACGTGCGTCGTCGCACATGACCACCTGTCCTTCTCCCCTTAGACTCGAATGCTGTGGGCAGCGTGGCAAGCATACCACGACGCGCGCGCCCTAATGCTGGCCCGATCTGACATGGAGCCGGTCCCACCTTCCGAGCCCGAAGCCAAGAAGAACAAGCCAAACCGTGACACAGAGCGCGAGGAAGAGCTTGACCAGCTTCTTGCAGAGATGGAAGATCTCCACCGCCTGCTCCAGCGTGATTTGGCCCATCAGACAGGCTGCGATACCTTGATGGGCATGTGTCTTTGGGATGCCAATGCCGGGCGTGGCACGAGTGAACCGCCGCCGGGCCCAGCCGCACGAGTGTGGGAATGCGGCATTCATTTAGCTCAATTGCTGACCGAGGCCACTCGCCTGCCTGATGCACCATTGCCAGAGAGCACTGCCGCGATATCTCGGCGTGCTGTTTGCGGCTGTATGGCCAGCTCGGGCCCATCCCTCGTCACAGCTCTGCGCAAGCACTTGTCTCCGTCATCCACGAGTAGGGTTGTACGGGTGCTAGAGCTTGGGTGTGGCATGGGCCTGGTGAGCATGGCCGCTGCCGCCGCTGGCTGGTCCGTCACGGCTACCGATATGCCTGACATTGTAGAAGGTGGCATTCTATCACGCAACGCCACCACGGCCACTCAGCGGGGCCCGGGCAGCATGACCACTGCGCCCTTGGACTGGCGTCAACCCCTGGACGCCTCGTTGGCGTGGACAGCCTTTGAGCTGGTTCTTGGTGCTGACTGCGTGTATCACCCAGCGGCGGTGGAGCCCTTCATTGCGACGCTTGTTCGCTTGCGTGCTGAGCATGCCGAGCCACTTCCCCTGGCCCTGATGCACAAACACCGGCGCGAGTGCACAGCATCCTTGGTCGCACATCTCAAGCGCCTGTGCCCGGATTTGGTCGACCTCCAACTTCCAGCAGATCATCGCTACCATCTCTTCCTGGGCACGTTGGCCTGAATGACGGCCGGCATCGACAATTGTCGTGTCAGGATTTCAATTCCATGGGCCTGCCGTGCAGGCTACTTGTCGTTTTTTGTTTATGTTCTTATGCAAATGCATCAGACTGATTGCGGGAGGCTCGGCCAGGCCGCTGTGCTGGTGCGTTGGGATAGTTGCTGGAAAAGACCTAAACGAGCAATAAAGCGGGTCCATGATTTAGCCATGTGAGGACGCTGTGCGTCCAATTGACAGCAGTATGCACGTGAACAACCACCCGCCCAAAGCCGACCGGTCACGCACGTCTTCTTCCTCGTCGTCATCATCCACGACGCTGAGAGGTGCTGCCAGAGAGCGGCTGGTGTACTTGATGTTCGTGCCAATGGTGCGCATGCGTCGTTGCCGGCGGCGAAACAAAATCTAAAAACGGCCAATCATGTGCGCGAGCTAATTGAGTGAGCAAGCAAATTAGGCGCGCAAGAACACATGAGCGGCAGGCTGACGCACGAAGAACGTGGCCGCGACGGCCAGGGCAAGGCAAATGGCGACGACGACGGCCGTCACAGTGAGGTCGCGCTTGTTGGCAGCATCCGCGCTTGTGGGATCAATCGTGGAGGCAGGCACATTCTTGGTCGTCGTGCTGCTGGATGCTCGAGTCGTGGGTGAAGGCGTGGCTAGTAGCAGGAAGAACCCCTGGGTCAGCTCATGACGCAATGGCAGACACTAATACCGGACGACGACGGTCGGGATGAATGCGACATTGGCGCACCGGCTTGGCAATCAACGGTCATGTCAGTAGGCAATATGGGAGACATCACTTTGACAAATTCCTGTGCACGAGAGGGAATTGCTGGTAAGTCCGCGAGTGCGACACAGATGGGTCGATAGGGCTTGTTTACCCACGAACCGAGAGTGGGCAGTCGGAATGCTCGCAGGTTTTGACAGTGAGCGTGTGCCCTGGATGCTCTGGCGCATCGATGGCACTCTCGTTCTTAAACACAATCTGAGAACCACAAATGTTGATGTCCGGCTTGAGATTCTCAACACCACTGAGGGGTCAGGAAACCAATTCAAAGTGCAACCGGAGAGTCGACGTACCCGGACAAAGGGGGTGTCATCCTCAACGTGCAGTTCAACGATCAAGCAAGAAGCGTAGGGTGGCGCACGAGCGCTGCGTCACGAGCAAAACAAACCAAACATGTTGACACGACGAAACAGCGCCGGGTATCGAGTGGCGTGAGGCCCAGGGGTAAGGCAAAAAGAAATGTACCGGAAGTGGTCAGTCTGAAGCGCTTCAAGTACGGCGGCAAGGTTGGTATCGTGGCCCGAGTAGAGGAAAACGCGGGGCATAGATGAATCCTGGAGTGCAGCTTGCATGTTTGAAATCAGCTCTTGTAGCACTGGCCCTACAAGGTTAAGCGATGAAGGCATGATGACTTGAGGCGTTGTGGAGAGATGGACCAAGTAACCCAGCCCTAGTTTAGGGTGGCATACCACCAGAGAGGCGCCGCTTGGGCACCGAGTCAAACATGGCATACATGCCCCAATCTTCAAGGCTCTGAGGCAACCGGGGTTGGTGAGGTGAAGTGAGGCGCAAACATGAGTGAGGCGCAAACGCAATCACGTACCCGGAGGAGGCTGTAGCTGGCCTCACCCACGTCCGAGTGGTTGGCATAGTCGGGCATACTCAGGTTGTGCATTCGGCGACAGAGCAAGGTGTCTGAAATCTAAGAGCGGGCCCATGGGCCAAATGGGCCAAGAATGAAGTTCCAGGAAAGGGTCTCATCTCCTTGTGGGGTCTCATCTCCTTGTGGGGTCTCATCTCCTTGCGGGGTCTCATCTCCTTGCGGGGGCTGGCGCGAGTGGGTGGATGCAAAATAGACTTGAGTGGCATGGCGTACCTGCCAGAGAGAGTCAAGGTCCAGGGGCGCAATTTGGCTAATGGGCTCGAGGGCGCTGAGGTATTGGGCAACCGTGCAGTTTTGGTCGGCAGGAAGATGCACGGCCTGGCAAGCGAGGGGGTCGACGATTTGGTTGTTCTTGTCATGCCAGCCCTGGGTCTGGTTCCAGTTGGCCTCGAGCTGATCATACCTCGGACAGACGCCCTGGCTCCATGAGCGCAGGAGCAAGTCGTCCTCCACGGGCCGCGTGTGTACCGGGACGGGTCGCCACAGAATGTCAGGGGGACCAAGCACCGATGTCTCAACGGGGAACCAGCCCGCCAGCTGAGCCTGGGCACTCATGAGGGTTCGGTCTGCGTCTGTCGAGCGCACCACAATCTAGTATGCGCAACAAGACCAAAACGGCTGTTAAGTGCGGCGTTTGTGGGAAGCACCTGCATGGCGTGCTCAGAAGGCAGAGAAGGCAGGGGTGCTGCGCAGGGACTCTCGGACCCTGACCTGCTCATGATTGTAAGCGGCATCGATAAAAGAAAGGTCCTGAATGTAACGTTTGCGAAAATATGCGCCGACATTGTAATGCATTTGCATGCCCAGCGCTGTGAGCTGGCCATAGCCCTCGGGCCAGTCACTCGGCTGGGACACGCCGGGCAAGTCTCGCAGCGCTGTGCGGTCACCGTGTCGAAAGAGCTATAACCCCGCGGCCATCGCCACCGCGCAGAGTGAGTGAGTTGAAGGCGCAGGAGAAAGGTGAGTCAGCAAGCAAAGCGAGGGTGGACGACGTACAATCTGAACCAGTTTGAGCTCGCCGAGGACAAGCGGAAGCGCAGTCAAGAGCAGGCCCAGCCCAGCCAGGCGTCGCAGCGACGACATGCCCACTGGTCTTTTCCGTCGGGGCCAGGATGGGGGGGAAGAAGGAGAACGAGGACGAGGACGAGGACGAGGGAGCAGCAGGAGGAGCAGCAGGAGTAGGAGGAGGCGGCGGCGGCAGAGGAGCAAGAAGGCGCACCGTCGCGGGGCAGCGCGCGCGACACACACACACACAAGAAAAAAAAATAAAAAATTGAAGAAGAAGATGCAAACATGTACACAAAGTAAAATACTTACAAGTACGGGTTCGACTTGGATTGTCTCACTGCGTTCGTCCGCAGAAAGATGTGGGATGTGTGCATGCATGCAAGTCTGTTGCTGTGTAGTTGACACACCACACACACACATACAGACTGAGCGCAGTGGAGCCGCATTTCTGACACGGTGCGCGGTGGCCGTCAGGTGCAGTGCTGGCGTGGCCCAGCGGAAGACACAACTTTTCCCCTGGTCGTTCAGATCACCAAGGCTCTGAGAGATACCTACTGCGCTGGCTTGCCACGATGGCAGGCGGCTCATATGTCTTGCCAAACGGCGCGCCTGGCAGCGCCATGGCTCAAACGTTGGCTTTGGCGCTGATCTGCCTATTCGTGCCGCGGGCGCTGGCCAAGCCGTGCCCCGACAATGCTCTTTTTGTGTATAGCTATGCCCATGACGGTGCCTCCCATTGCGCTTGCCTTGAGGGTTTAACCTGTGCTGGCAGCCAGTGCACGGTTGGGGGTCCCAGCAACAAGCGATATGGCTTTTACCACACCACGAAGCATGCTGGTTTTGATGCGACCTGCGAGGATTGCTTTTGCCTCGCCCCTGATCAAAGTCTGGCCCAGGCGCGGGAAAAACATCCCTTTCGCACTCTCCGTGCCACCGATGGTGGCCTCCTGCGCGACTTTCCCGACCCCCTGTTTGACGCCACCTGCCGCGTACGTTGGCGCGTATTGCGATGCCCTGGTTGCTTTTTCTTGCCCAGCCCGTAACTCACGCAACAAGTGCGCGTGCTTTTTTTTTTTTTTTTCTTCTTCCTCTCTCTGGCCCAAGGTGGCTGAAACCAGCACACCCATTCCGCGACCTCGGGCCCTGGATCGTGAGAAATGGCTTCATTTCCCAAAGGTCAGGCTCTCCCCGGGCCCATCCTGGCTCTCTATTGAACCCTGCTACTGCTTGATACCTCTTCTTGAATATTATGCTGCCCTCGTGTTCAACGACTCGAATTTGTCCCGTGTTCGTGCCTGCTCGTCTAGGCGGGATCTAGTTTGAGCTCCACCATTTACAATTACGCGTGTCGGGATTTTCCAGGCCAGCGCACCTTTACCGACTTGAATGACCCTGGCCTCGCCGCTTATGAGGTCAGCGCTCTTGCTGGAGGCCCCACTATTCAGTCGACCACTCTGGCTCGGACCTGCAACCCTTCTCACACCCGGCACCGACTGCTGTGTAACGTTGAACATGCCAGAACTCGACGTGTCATTTCTGCTGGAATCCCTGCGGAACCAAGTGCGGTGGTTTTACACACTGGGCCCCGCACGATGGTCTAAACCGGAAGCGGGTGGGCCGCAACGGTATGCGCGTGTGTATCTGCTCTTGTCTTGTTCACTTTAAAGTCACACACGGAGAGCTCACGCGCATTTCATTGTGATTGCTCGGCAACTTTTCGCCGGCTCGACTGCCTGAGGTAGGCGAGTATTTTTTGCCAAAGCCTTTCAAGGAAAAGCGCTGTGTGAGCCAGCTGCAGGGGTGGATGCAAGCGCACTATCCACTGAACAAGGTCCAGGCCGTGAGTGGGACGGTCATGGCCATGTTCCGACACCCAGCCAAACGATTGGTGTCCGCCTTCAACTATGGCCGGCATTCATTTGGGATGAATCGTCTGGAGCGGCTGCGCCTGCTCAAGACGACCGAGACGCTGGAAGGCTATGTCAACTTTCCTGGCATTGCCTCGTGCATGACCAAGATGACGTTGGGATACAATTGCGCACACTACGTGCGCCTGGATGAGAGCCACCTGCAAGAGGCCAAATCGCGGCTGGAAAAGGACTTTGCCTTTATCGGCCTCTCCGAGCATTGGAACGCCAGCGTGTGCCTTTTTCATCGACAGTACGGTGGTGCCATGCACCAGACCGAGCTGGCGAACCTGCGGCCAGGCACGGACATTAAAGCCACCACCACACCAAGCCCGGGCGCCGCGCGCCGCCGTCTTTTGAGTCTGGATGGCTATGACCCGGAGAATATTGGAGAAGACGATGACCAGGACGATGCGGTTGAGGATGCGCGCGGAGCCGAGGGACAGGGCGCAGGTCCCGTCAAGCCGGACCTCTTTGTCCCGGGCGTCTCCTATGAAGAGGGCATGTCCCGCGTCGAGCGCAATCGCAACGTGGCCCAGCTCAGCAAGGTGCCCAAAACGGCCAGCGCCCAGCTGCGACGCGAGCATGACCCCTTTGACTTTGCCCTCTATGAAGTGGCCGACTACCTCTTTCGCCGCAAGCTCCAAGAGTATGGCTTTCGCGACGTGGCCGCCACCCCAATCGACTAGGAACCCATCGTACCCACAGCCGCGTGTTTTTGTTTGCTTTTTTTCTTGTTGGCTTGTTTGTTTGTGTGGGTATTGGCCCTTGTTCCGGGTAGAGCACGGCCAAGCTCCGAGCAACTGGCACGCAATCGATGCCCATCCTTTTTGTTTTGCTGCACATTTGCTCACCCCTCTGTATGAGTAGGAGGTGACTGAGTCCCGCTTGTGACCGCAGAGCTCTGCCTGATCATGTGCAAACTTATGCCTGTACCCATACCCATGTCTGTCTGTGTCTAATGGCCTGACCCCTGTGCGCCTGCGTGATATAACATTTGTATCCCTCTCAGCCTCTTGCTCTCAGACGCTCGCTATCAGACGCCGTCTCTCTCATCTCCCCCTTTCTCAAACCCTCTCACTTACACTCTCAAACCCTCTCTCCAATTCATTTCTGAATCTCCCTCTCTCTCTCTCTCTCAAATCTCTCTCTCGAATCTCTCTCTCTCTCGAATCTCTCTCTCTCTCGCATCTCTCTCTCTCTCTCGAATCTCTCTCTCCAATTCATTTCTGAATCTCCCTCTCTCTCTCTCTCAAATCTCTCTCTCAAATCTCTCTCTCTCTCGAATCTCTCTCTCTCTCGCATCTCTCTCTCTCTCTCTCTCGAATCTCTCTCTCGAATCTCCCTCTCTCCCTCTCAAACTCTCTCAAGCTCTCTCAAGCTCTCTCAAACTCTCTCAAACTCTCTCAAACTCTCTCAAACTCTCTCACTCTCTCAAACTCCCTCACTCTCTCAAGCTCTCTTTCTCCTCTCTCACTCTCTCCTCTCACACTCCCACACACACACACACACACTCTCTCTCTCTCTCTCTCTCTCTCCTCTCTCCATTTTTTTTCGACTTGTGGGGCAGGATGGTGTGTGATGGATGAGCGTGTGGGCACCAGTTACGGGGGACGCGAGGGTGAGCATGGCGGCAGCAGCGGTGCCGAGGGCTTTGGGCAATGGCGCCGAAGCCGCGTCCGAGTTTGGCGCAGAGGGACCAGCGTATGTGCGATATTTGGAGGATGAGCTAAAGGAGCGGACGACGCGGCGGGTGGCGGTGGTGTCGGGGGTGCTCTGCTTGGTCGGGGCGCTGGCTTATACGCTGGGATCGATTCAGTTTTACTCGTGGGTGGACAATGGCTTGGCGGGGGGCTGGCTCTTTATTGCGGGTTCGGCCTGCTTTACCAGCGCCGCGCTGCAGGACTGGTGCCTCTTGCACGCTGGGGCTCGGCACTTGGCAGCCCACGATACCGTGTTGCCGCTGCTTCTGACAGAGGGCAGCGAGGCACACAGCCGGTCGGGCACCGCGTGGACGCGCTCCAGCACCCAGATGCATCGGCCCGCCCGGTGCTGTCGGCCTTGGTCGTTGCCCACGCACATTGTGACAGTGACCCTGTGCGCCAACATTTGCTTCGACGTGGGCAGCGTGTTCTTCTTGCCCCGCTTCGCAGCTCAACTGGACATTGGCTACTGGCTCTTTATCATGGGCTCGTTTTTGTACATCCTGGCCATTCTCCTGGAGGAGGGGCGGCGCTTTCGCGAGCACGGGGTGCCCTGGCGTTCTTCCCGGCGCGAGCTGGCACTGACCGTTGCAGCGACAAGTTACATTGCGGGCTGCGCCATTTTCATCGTGGGGTGCACATGGCCGCTCGTCACCACCCGAGCACCCGACACGGGCATTCATTGCTTTGTCTGGGGCTCGTTGGCCATGGGTGCTGGCGCCCTCATGGCCCTGTCGGCCGTCTCCTGTGCCCCTCCACCTCCTCCTCCGGACACCACCTCTTTCTCCGGCCTCATCAACCCATGAGCATGCGGCGCTCCCCCCGCACCATGTGATGTGGTGCGGAACCCCAGCCGTACGGCTATACCTGTCTTCTAGAGGACTTTAACTGATTACCTGCCATCTCTGCTGAATCGATTTCCCAAGACCGGATGGTTATTGTTTTTCTCAACCCCCATAGCGCGCAGCCAGCTGCGATGGCTCTAGAAGAGTCTGGGGGGGCAGCTCATGAGCCCCGGCCTGGCTCGAGCAGCAATCCATTGCCAGACCCAAACATCACGTGAGCTCTAGTCTCTCTATAGTAGCAGCAGCAATTATGCCGCATCCGGATCACATGCATTCACCCCAGGGCCACAAACACCGGGCACAACAGCCACAGATACCAGCCTTGATGGCTGGATCTGCTTTCCACGAGGCCAGTGGCAGCCAGCCAGCCAGACAGACAGACAGGCACTCCATCAGCCCCGCGCCATCGACGCAATGCTATCACTTGCTCGTCACCTCATTAACAGTTAAAAAAAAAATTAAAAAAATCAATTTTTCTGTTTTTTCGTCTTTTTTAACTTTTTTTACTTTTTTTTTCATTTTTTTTTTTTTTTTTGGAAAGTGCTCGAGAGGTGTTGCGATGGCAGGCGCGTCGAGCAAAACGTCGGAAATGTCGGGCATGGGCGGGCCAGTGGGCTCGACGGAAGGCCAGCTGAGTGGGCTGGACGTGCATGCGGCGGCTAATCGTGGGGACATTGATAAGCTGCGGGCGGTGCTGACGGCGGCACCCGACTTGGTCGATCGTCCCGATGAGCTCGCCTTTAGTGCTTTGATGCATGCTGGCCGTGACAACCGCACCGGTACGTGACATGCTCGGGGCTCGGACGCGCATGGTGGACTCGAAAAGCCAGTCAACCCCTGCTGGCCACTTGCCCTCGACAGGGCAGCGCCAAACTCGCATGGACCTTTGGTCAATGCTTCACATGTCAAGCATTCCACTGCGCACTTGTACTGCCAGAACACTCACTGGTATTCTACCCCCCCCC